GCCGAGCGGGCAGGGGAGCCGCGGGACCCGCGGAAGCGCGGCGGTGGCAGAGATTAGAGACAGAATTAAAACTGAACCGGACCCTCGTAGCCTCTCCGTGATCTACACAACTGCCGCCTGCCGCCGCCTGCTGGGTCCTAAAGACCTCTGCATCCCCCTTCCCGCCCCCAAATGTTCTTTTAAGCCTAGTGGAATTTCTGGGGCGAGAGAGTTAACCGGGCCAGTGCACCCAGCTCTTGGTCCGAGGGCTTATTTATCTTTTATGAAGTCATCCAAAAAAAAAAAAAAAGAAAGAACCCAACTAGATTCTGAACGTGATTCCCATTTGAAAATTTGCAAACTAAATTTTCTGTTTTGTAATTGTGATAAAACCAAGTCAACCGCCCAAATGTTAATAGCCCTATTTATAGCATTTTGCATTTATGTTTATATATTAGGAAATCTATCACAAAATAATTTTTCCAAAAAATTATTTATTCTTTCAGTTTTCCAATTGTAAGCTTCCTCATGTTCTCTTCTCCCTTAATTTTACTTTTCAAATCCAGTTATTGCCAAGCAATCTTTTTATCACAATTTTCACCTAAATTATTTCCTTCATTGTTTTAAATATTACAATTTATATTGCTATCAGACCTTCGAGATCTTTAGTGTTCATCTAAGTGATTTTCAAGTGTAAAAACATTCAGCACATCGTATCCACATGATTAACCAGACCTGTGGAATCTTCCTAATTTTAATGAAAGATTTCTGGCTTCTAGAAATAGAAATGCTTACTGCTTATTTTATAAGACTCCTAGGGCCTTCGGTGCTCTGCTTGTGTTAGTCTGTTGCACTGATAGTACACAATATCACATTCAAACCTTTAATTAAAAAATTTAAAAACTATTTTTTTTATGTCGCACCAATATCCTGTTTAAAGGATCCTCCCAGTCATGTTGAATTACAAATGGCATTTGTTAAATGTCTAATTTAGCTAAAAACATATTTCTTGTGGAATTGCTCAGTGAGAATAGTTGTATTTATTAATATATTACTTAACACCTCACCTGTAGCAGTGTGATGTTAAAGATTACATTAAGATGGAAATGATCAGCAGGCCAACTGAACCATAGGCATAATAAGAGCTTTCTCAAGGCCAAAAAAGGCATTACAATCCTTTTTTAATCTTCACTAATCCATGGCTGGACTGATGGTACAACAGGAACTATTTTTAACTTATGAGGCATCTTCCTGTACTTAGTATTAGGGAAGTTAAAATTATTGATGCAACAATGACTATCAATGCAATGTGTTTGGGCAAAGAAACATACAGGATTTAGCCTTACAAGGGAAAACAAAAAATTCTAAATACTGTCCAGCACTGCCAGCCTTGAGCTATTTATTCAATTTGTGCTTTAGGCATGAATAGTACCAGTTGTTAAGACAGGAAAAGCAGCAGCCAGAGGAGAATCTTATCAGGTCTTGGCAATTCTTTATTGCATGGTTGTACTTGACACTCAAATTAGTGAATCAAAGGACCAACTTGATGAATCACTGCGGGCAGGCTATCTGCGTTTCTCCAGAGCTCCTTTTGAGATGCTACTAGACTCAGCTCCAGCATTTTTCAGGATTATTCTCCTTCCATCTAGCAAGTTGCCCAGTGACCAATAAAGCACTTCTAATATATTTTGCCATGCCAAACAGAGCCATCATACTTATGATTTAAGCTCATGGCAGCACATTGGACATCTGTTACACAGTATGTCTGACCAAATTCATTAAGCTTATGCTTTTTTTCCCCCTCCTGGGAAAGCAGTTAGCTAGTTGTTAAATCTACTTATGAAATGGCCAGGGTAAATTTAAAAATATAATTTTGAACTTGATTTGAATAATTTCAAGGCCTCTGGCCTTCAAATATTTGATTAGATTGGTACGATGGTTTCAGGCAATCTGGCCCGAGAGCCAAATGGACATGGTGGGGTGGAAGAAGGGCATATAAAACCAGTAACAAAAAATAAAATCCTTGTGCTATTCAATTTAGTGATCATTTAATGATCGCCTGCTATCTGGTTGCTCTGTACTCGGGAATACAGAGATGAATAAGGCACAGATCCTCTTCTAAGAGCCTACCACTCCGTGTGTGTGTGTGTGTGTGTGTGTGTGTGTGTGAGAGAGAGAGAGAGACAGAGAGAGAGAGAGACAGAGAGAGAGAGAGAGACAGAGAAAGAGACAGAGACAGAGACAGAGAGATAAGTGTGTGACTCAAGTCCACAGGTGGGCAATGAAAAATAGAGTACTAGAGATCTAACATATATTTATCAAGAGCCTACCATGTTAAACACCTACTCTGGTGAGCACCTTCTATATGGCAGGTGTTGGGGATACCTCGATGAGTAGATCCCATGCTAGCCGGCAGGAATTCATACTCTATTGCCAAATAAGTGCTATCAACAATTATGTTACAAAGAACTAGGAAACAACCAAAACGCTTGCTTTATTTTTCAACTCTGAGAGTTTGCTTATTTAAGGTCTGAAGGGTTTGATATTTTAAGGGTATCCACCTATGTTTGTGTAACTTTATGCACACATTTAAGTTAATTTGAATAGCCAGAAAGAGCAGAAAGGAGGCAGCGTTCACAGACACTTGATTGACTTGGAGGCAAGTAGACAGGTCAATAAAGCTTTTTTAGTTCATCTAACTTGTTCAGTTCAATACCAAGTGAGTCATGGAATTATAATTTGCTTTTCAAAACCCAGGTAGCTGTGGTGGATTTCTCACCATTTAAAATTTTGCCACATTTCTGCCTCTAGTGCCCTTACATCCAATCAAATAGATTTCTTCTTAAAAAAAGAAAGGAAAGGAAAAGAGTTAGTGTTTTACAATGTCGGTTATGTGATAAACTAAAGGTGAGAATTTATGGAACAAGGCATGTCATGGGGTAAGGAGGGAGGAGGTGGAGTCGGAAGCTCAGAGGGAAGGTCAGCCTGTGCACACAGCCGCAAAGGCACCACGAAACTAGCAAAGAAGGCAGAGAGACAAACTGCCGGCAATCCATGAGCCCCACCCACGACCCCTAAGTGACCGCTCAATTCAGAAACAAATGTTTCAAACCTTTCAAAGAGGGACAAAAAGCAGAAAACAACATAATGTAAAATGCATTTGAAATACAACTGCTTCCACCTTATGGTCTTAAAGAAAAAGAAAGATTCTGGTATATGCAGCAAAAGCAAAAAGCTTAATATGGCAGAAAGTCCTAGAACAAATCTGATCCTTTCCATTGGTGTTCTGCAGTTTATTTAGCTCTCTTTCCTTCGCAGGCTGTGCCTAGTGAGCTGGTTGGTTGAGAACAGGTTTCTGGAGTCAGGCAGCCAGCACCCAGATTCTGTTGGTGCTACCGACTAGCTCTGCGGCCTTCGGTAAGTTACTTAGCTGTGCTTAGTTTCCTTATTTGTAAAACAATAATCATTGGAGTACCTACCTCAAAGCATTGTTGTGAAGGTTAAATGAGATAGTACAAATGAAGTGTCAAGAGGAGTACTAACCAATTGTTAACTATTTTAATAATATTTTGTGACTATGATTAATAAACTGGGTTTGAAGGCAAAAGACCGGGGCTTGATCTGTGTAACCAAGAGCTTCATGACCTCTAGCAAAGGACTTAAAAATATTAGGCAGGCTCTTAACTTATCTCTAAAATGTGTACAGCAAAGCCTATCCCACAAATGGTTGAGGACTTATTGGGATATTGTTTGCAACTGTTTTGTACACTGTGAAGCTCTGCAATGGCTAAGATAATAGTAACTCATTTGTTCATCCAATAAGTATCAATTGAGCATTAACTATATGCCAGGCATTGTTCTAGCCCCTGCGGATCTGACCATGACACACACAGACTTGACCCCATGAGGCTTACATTTGAAGCTAGGGCAATAAACCGATTTAATAGAATGTCAGGCCCCAGGGAAAAAAGCAGGGTAAAGCGGTTAGAGATTGGGGTGCTGGGTGTATGTGCTGTTTAAACTTGAATGGTGCCTGGCCGGGCGTGGCTCAGCGGTTGAGCATCGACCTAGGATCCAGGCGATCAGGGTTTGATTCCCGGTCAGGGCACATGCCCGGGTTGCGGGCTGCAGCCGATCAAAGACTCTCTCATCACTGATATTTCTCTCTCTCTCTCTCTCCCCCTCTCCCTTCCTCTCTCTGAAATCAGTAAAGATATATTTAAAAAAAAAACACACAAAAAAAACAAAAAACAAAACTAGAAT